CCTATGCCTTCAGATAGTTCACATGCCTATAGTTCAGACAATTCCCAGTCTAGTGAGTCAAATGTCCAATTAGGTTGCAAGGATAAATGTTGTAGAATTTTAAATAAATCAATTTGTGTCTTAACCAAGCAGGAAGAACAAGAAGAGTTATTAATTGAATTAATTAGTAAAGTTCAAGATCCCGAATTAAAATCAGAATACCTTAAGAAACTTAGGAAAGTTATAAGCCAAGAAGAGTCTAGTTCTCCTACGCCTCCTAAGATAAGTTTAAATGCTACTTTAGAAAGGTTTAATAAAAAGAAAGAAGATACGCTTCAGGATCTTCAATTAGAAGTCAAACTAGTTAAAAAGGAAATTTTAAAATTAAAACAAATAAGCCAAAAATTACAAACTGAAAATTATGCAATTAAGCAAGATTTAGTTAGTTTATTAGAATCCAAAGCAGAGTCTAGTAATCCATTCGGCAAGTCAAGTTCTGAGTCTGAGCCTGAGTTGTCCGATAAAGAAGAAAAAGTTATTAATTTAATTAAGCAAATTAATTTTAGGAAATGGTATTCCAAAGTCAGTATTTTTATTAATGAATTTGAATTAAATACAATAGCTTTATTTGATACAGGAGCCGATTTAAATTGTATTCAGGAAGGTCTAGTACCAACCCAGTATTACAAGAAGTCAAAAGAGGTCTTAGGAACAGCTTCAGGAAAAGCCCTTAAATTAAAATATGAATTACCAAAAGCCCATGTATGCCAAAATAAAATATGTTTTAAAACATCCTTTGTCCTGATCCAGAATATCACGGATGAAGTAATCTTAGGTTTACCTTTTATCTCTTTACTTTACCCCTTTCAGGTAGAATTTGATGGAGTCACCTCAAGCCAATTAGGAGAAAAAGTTAAATTTGAGTTCTTAACCAAGCCAGAATTACATAGTCTTAAATCATTACAAAAGTCAGCTATTTCTAAGTCAGTTAAGCTAATACAAAATAAAAGTAAGCAAGTTAATTTTCTTAAGAAAGAAATTAAGTTTAAAAGGGTAGAACAACAGTTAGTCGACAAGTCACTTCAATCTCAAATTAGTAAATTTGAAGATAAGTTAAAAAATGAAGTTTGTTCCGATCTACCTAATGCCTTTTGGCACCGTAAGCAACATGTTGTTTCTTTACCCTATGTCAAATCCTTTAGTGAAAAGAATATTCCTACCAAAGCCCGTCCAATACAAATGAGCCAAGAATTAATGGAATTATGCAAAGCCGAGGTCACGGATTTAATTAACAAAGGAATAGTTAGGAAAAGTAAGTCTCCCTGGTCTTGTCCAGCTTTTTATGTTCAGAAAAATGCCGAATTAGAAAGAGGAGCCCCACGCCTAGTTATCAATTATAAGCCCCTTAATTCAGTTTTAGAATGGATTAGGTATCCAATCCCTAATAAAAGAGATTTAGTTAACATATTAGAAAAGGCCGTTATCTTTAGTAAATTTGATATGAAAAGTGGTTTTTGGCAAATTCAAATTAAAGAGTCAGATAGATATAAGACTGCATTTGTTACCCCCTTTGGTCATTATGAATGGAATGTTATGCCTTTTGGATTAAAAAATGCCCCTAGTGAATTCCAGAATATTATGAATGAAATCTTTAATGCTTACAATCATTTTTCCATAGTATATATAGATGATGTTCTTATCTTTTCCGAGTCAATAGAGCAACATTGGAAGCATTTACATAAGTTTTTTCAGATAGTTAAATCTAATGGTTTAGTCATTTCAGCCAAAAAGATCAAGTTATTCCAAGTCAATGTCAGGTTTCTAGGTTTCAACATAAGCCAAAGCCAAATAAGCCCAATCAATCGAGTCATCCAGTTTGCTGATAAATTTCCAGATCAAATTCTTGAAAAAAGCCAACTTCAAAGGTTTTTAGGGTCTTTAAATTATGTTTCTGATTTTTATCAAAATCTGAGAAAATTATGTGAGCCCCTGTTTGATCGTCTCTAGAGCAATCCTCCTGCCTGGACTCCGAGTCATACAGAAATAGTTAAGCAGATTAAGATTCATGTCAAGTCTCTCCCATGTCTAGGTATTCCTTCAGTCAATTCTTTTAAAATTGTTGAAACAGATGCCTCTGAAACAGGTTATGGTGGTATTTTAAAACAAAAAATAAGCCCTGAGTCTCCTGAACAAATTGTTCGTTTTCATTCCGGAGTCTGGAGTCAAGCCCAAGTTAATTATAGTACTATTAAAAAAGAAATTTTATCTATTGTATTATGCATAAGCAAATTTCAAGATGATTTATTAAATCAAAAGTTTTTAGTTCGTGTTGATTGTAAGTCTGCAAAACATGTTTTAGAAAAAGATGTTAAAAATATAGCTAGTAAGCAGATTTTTGCACGATGGCAAGCAATTCTGAGTGTTTTTGATTTTCAGTTAGAATATTTGAGAGGTAGTGAAAACAGTATCCCTGATTTTCTTACAAGAGAATTTCTACAGGATAAACAGGCAGAGCCATGTCAAGCAAAGAAAAAGATAAGCAGAAAGACAAGCAAAAAATGCAATACAGTCAGACAAGCCAACCAAGCCCAAGTCCAAGCCAAGCTTGAATCCTTCCAGCTACCTTGATGCCTATCCCAATCAAACAAGAAGCCAATGCCCAACTTGTGCCCTTTCCAGGTTATATGCCAATTCCAGTTAGAAATAGTTTTAGTCCTTTAAGCCAGCCTTCTCTACGCCCTAATTATCAGAAAGCTTTAGTTTCCCAGTATGATCCTTTTATTGTTCATGCCCCTATGCCTTCCCAGTGTCAAAACCCAGGTCAGAGCCAAGCCCAAAGGTCTAAATATCATCCCAAAAGCAATTCTCATATTTTTATTGTTGAACCTTATCTAGAAGATTTGAATGACCCAGTTAAAATAGCTAAGAAGTTCTTTCCTCCCAACATGCATTATTTTCCAAGTCATCCTTCTAAGTCTTTGAAGTTTTATAGGGACATTCTTTATGAAACCCAATCAGCAGACATTAAGCCCATCAAGGACAAACAAACAGAAGCCACTATTTTCCATTCCATTTATATACGCCAAGTCATTAAGCCAGAACACTGGAGTAAAAATGCCTATGATCAAAAGCCACTTCAATCAGGCCTTACTTATAATTATGGAGACTACATTGATGCATGGTATACAATTTTCTTTCATCAATTTGAAGACTTCAGTCATTCATGGTTCATGAACTTAGATGCCAAATTCAAGCCCTATTTTCCTTACTGGTTTCTCCAATGGTGGAACATTAATGGTTCCTGTTGGGAAATCCTTCCAGAAGGTCTACGCCCCACATTTAATTATTTTTGTCAGAAGCACCAACTAACTAAGCAGGAGAAATTCTTCCCTATGCTTCTTCATTTCTTTGCCAAATATAAGATTCCATGGATTCTAAAATGGAGCTATCAGATTAATTGGGACACCAGATTTCTATGCCGTCATTACGTAGTCAAATGGTGGGACAAAGTTCTTTTAGGCCCTATAATCAATGAAGTTAATACTGAATTTCCACCTATGCCAATGCCTTCTAAGCCAATCCAAGAAGCCTCTCCAAGTAGTTCGAATGCCTCCCTCAAAGGGAAATCTAAAAAGGAATTAACAGAGCTAGCAGAGCAACTTCTTGCTCAAGTTTCTCAAATGAAGGATGAAGACGAAGACGATGCCAGTCCAAAGTCCGAATCCTCCTCAAGCCAGATGCCTAATCAGCAATTCAGCCAAAAGCCTAAGCCTAGATGGTCAGATTATGTGCCCGACAGTCAAGATCCTTATGATCTCTCTGAAGATTGAAGCCTTCCAAGTCAAAGATGCCTCTGCCAAAGTTAAAGTAGCCGAAAGCAGAGTTAAAGTCCTTTCACCCATGTGAAAGCAGATGCCTTTCTGTTTCTCCAGAGTTAAAGCAAAGATGCCCATGCCTTTCAATTCAAAGATGTGCCCTTCAATTCAAAGATGCCCTGACAAGTTAAAGGTTTTTCAAAGATGCCCATGCCTTTCAATTCAAAGATGCCCATGCCCTTCAATTTAAAGTAGTCGAAAGCAAAGATGCCCTGACAAAGTTCAAAGTTAAATGTTTTTCACTTCAGTCAAAGTAGAAGTTAATTCAAAAGTTATTTTGTCCTCTTTTGTATGCCAAGACTTTAAATAGAAGCCTTTCGTCAGTTGTATCTCCAAGCTTTGTTTAGTAAGCATTGTAAGTTTCTTTCAGTTTTCAAAGTTCTCTCAGAGTTTGTAGACCTGAGGCAACTACAATAGTTGT